CAAAGTCTGAGCGCTCGGACAGGAATCCATAGCCCGGATGAATGGCGTCGATGTCGGCCTCTTTGGCGATTCGGATAATTTCGGGAATGTTTAGGTAAGCGGCGACCGGTGGCAGCCCTTTGCCCACTAGATAAGCTTCATCGGCTTTAAGCCTGTGCATGTGCATCTTATCTTGCTCAGAATATATGGCCACCGAACGAATACCCAGTTCAGTACAGGCCCTGAACACCCGTATCGCTATCTCACCTGTCATTTAAATAATTACATAATTAGTGATTAAATCGAGTAATTGTTATATAATTTGTTTATTATTGATACGAAAAGACAGACCTCTGTTGGCGACCAATACCTTCTTAATGGGCTTAACCTCGAAGTTGGCGTTGTGTCGATTGGACGACAAGTGCAGCGCCCGTATGGACGACGGCAACAAATACAGACTCTTGCCATTACTTAGGCTAAGGATACGCGTTATGGTAGCCATCGATGTCGTGACCAACAAAATAATATCTTTATTCTTGATTTAGTATAGCATTAGTTTTCTGTCCAAAAACACATTAAATAAAATGTATTGAAAAACACTTGAATTCAGTGGAAATACAGTATTTTATAACACAAATATTTTTTTCTGATTAGATTTTAATCCGTGAAATATATTTACATTAGTTTTCTGTCCAAAAACACATTAAATAAAATGTATTGAAAAACACTTGAATTCAGTGGAAATACAGTATTTTATAACACAAATATTTTTTTCTGATTAGATTTTAATCCGTGAAATATATTTGATAACAATGTCTATAACATTGATTGAATTATCAATATTACCATAATAAAATGGATTACTAAATAGTGGTTCAAATTGAATTTCAGTCAATAACACAGCAGAGTATAGTATATATCAAAATTAATTTAAATACATTTTAATCTCAAAATATATTTGATAACAAATTTTAATTTTAATTTTTAATATTAAAACTTCGCAAAATTCTATAACTTTAGTGTATATGTGTTTTAGAAAACTTTTATATTAATTAATCTCTTAATTACTAAAACAGTTACTGTATAATCAAATCATGATATAAACTATCGTCGTATTAAATATACTCATATAATAAATATTCCGTTATTATTAAGTTATATATTCACTAAATATATAGCAAATTGTTGACTTTGCAAACAAATAAGTTGTTTTTCATCGCAAATTCAGTTAATATTTAAAAGTTTTTCCCTGTTTTTTGTCAAGCGATTAATTGACGCATTCGTGGAGACAGTTATTACAACAAATGGTATTAGTTTTCTCTCTCATATGAAACACAAAAAA